GGGGGGGGGGGGGAAATACCAGCCCTACCCCAGCCCTTCCGCTCGGGCAGGTTCCAGATGACACCTTGTCACCTGAAGGCAGTGGCTGCCATTTCGCAATCCCCCTTCCTTGTTCTGGGGGACTAGAAGCAATTAATTACTTGATAAACAGGTCACCTGAACAGAGGCCAAAGGAGGCGGGGGAGCACGGCTCCACAGACTGCTCCAGCTCTGCCAGGATCGACCCAAACCCACGATTTTTTAGAAAAGGACCATGCGTTTCGTTCAGGAGAAGGCAATAAGAGAAATCTCCCTGGAGATCGAGCCGGCCGACGCTTTCCCAGCATGGGTGGTTGGGCAAACGAGCCGCCCCCGACCCTGCGGGGCAGGTGAAGGGGGGCAGAGGGTGATTTCACAACCCCTCTGTGCCGGGGTGCGAAGCGGAACCGAGTCACGGGACGACGGGGAAGCAGCCGGGCGTGCTTTTATTAGCCCCCAGCAGCGTTTGAAATGCTTGTGTGCAGACAAAGTCCCCCTTATCATCGGGATAATGACAGCTGAAGGCAAACAGGAATTTTCTGCCGGAGGGGAGCGGAAGGACGGACCTAAGTGGATGTAAATGTGTCACGACTTCAAGGAGAGCCCTGCTCCCCTCTCCCTTGCAGCCTCACCCCCCCCAGCCCTGCACCACGTGGCCGGAGAGGGCTGACTCACTATTTTTGACCCGTGCTGCTGTCTGGCCAGGCATTTAACATATTCCAGGGAAAAAAGGATCATCACAACCTTCTACAGAGGCCTCCTGCTGAACAGACCCTGACTTTTCCACATCGAGGGAGACGTATGTTCGAAACAGGCCCGAACGTGACTCCAGGAGGAGGTGTGCTCCCCGGCAGCCAAAACCCTCATCGAGGAACATTCAAACGAACCAGAACCGCTACCAAAATATTCACACGCACGTTAAACGACAAATCAGCGAGGCCGGAGCTGCGTTTGCAAGCCCAGGGTTTCGACCACCCCCTCCCTCTTCCAATGGGGGAGCCAGGCAGCTTCTCCTGCCCCGACCGTACCTGTCTTGGAGAAGATGAGCTGCAGGATGAGAGGCCGCCGGGTGACGATTCCAGAGCCTCGGGGAAGGAAGTCCCTGCAATGAATTACAAGACAGACATTTACTGACGTGGTTTAAATAAGGAAATTAATGCCGTACCGAGCTGATCACCCCGATACTAAACAGCATGCAGCGGCTCGAATACACCCGGTCCTACACAGAATCAGTCCCTGTGCTGCCGCGGGAGCTGGAACGGGGTAAAAGATGCTCCCGGGAGCAGAGAGAGAGTGAAACGGGCCATCTCCCACCCTGTCCCCATCCCCAAAAGCAGGTGGGAGGAGAACGGGCACCGACGGGTGCTTTTGCTGCAGTGGAGGCTGCAGGTGCAGGAACTGGGAAAGGAGCTTCCCTGGCTGCCAGCCGTTAAGAAATTTGTCTACTGGATTTTAATATCCAGCTAATTCAGAGGAAAATAAAAAAAAAAAAAGACACCTGACATGAAGGACAAAGCCACCACCTTCTCTTTACTCTTCAAACCCGCCCATCCCTTATGGTTTCACCCCATAGAGTGAAACGAGGTGCAGAACCAGTGACGTTTCTCCTGCCCCCTGCTCGGGGCGTCAGCGTGGAGCCTGGGGTGGGGGGGTTCTGCCTGGAAATAAACGGATCTGCTCCGTTTTGGGCCCGTTATCACCCAGCGAACGGCTGCAGCTCCCCTTGCCCAGGCTGAGAGTGACGGGAATTGGATGGGAAAGTGGGTTTGTTGAGCAGCTCTGGGCTGGTGGTTGTGTTTGCTTGGCAACGGGGGCGATAAGAGCTCCGGGGAGCGGCGGGGCAGTGCTGAGGGGATTTATCGTTTCCATTACCGAGCGAGCACATCCAGCTTATCAGCCGAGCACGAGGAAACGAGACCCGCGGCGTGGGCAGGCGGTGCCTGACACTGGCACCTGCACCCGCAGGCAGCCCGGTTGCGGCGGGGGGAGAGGCTCCACCAGGAATTCACCCCCCTCCTCGGCTGTCCCCAACCCCGCACGTCAGCGGGTTGTGAGTTCCAGCCACAGTCTCGCGCCGGGAACGTCACCAGGAGGTTTCCAAGCAAACCGTGATGCCCCAGCGCAGCCACACCGGGGTTAGGGGGGGGCGGGCAGCCCCGAGAACAAAGCTTCTCTAAATAGAACCGTGCTTTTATCACCCTGGCAAAGAGCTTCCTGCCCAACCGGGAGGATGGGTCCTGCGGCACCCGCCACGGGAGCTGGGGTGCGACGACACGGGGAAGCATTTGATGGCAAAGGGAAGCGTTTGACGGCAGCAGGAACACCCGGATTTTGGCACTGCTCGCTACCTGGTGCCACGGTTTCGCTGTGACGGGCCCTGTTACGCTATTTGGAAAGTGGCGGCAGCTTCCTCCTGTAAAAATAAACCCCGTGAGGGGCAGAAACTCTCCCCACGTCCCCGCCGCCTTCGCCAGGGAGTGAGCACGGAGCATCTCCCGCGACTCGGAAGGGTCAAACGCGCCTGGCAGGCTGCGCCGCTCCCCTCGCCCACCTGCACCGCCTCCAACCTGCCACGTTAACGATCTCGGGGGGGTTAATGACATAAACCCCCAGTTCCCGTACCCGACGAGGCGTGCTAACGGTCAGGCATCCTTTCAACACGGAGCAAAGCTGAACAAAGCTTCATGGGGGAGGACAGCGTGACTCCTGCCCAGCAGCAGACGTGGGCCAGCCCCAGTGTGGCCACAGAGCCGAGTCACCCTGTCTGGCACCCACAGACGTCAGCGAGGGGGTGTTTTTACAGTCAAGGGTCACCGTACTCAGATCTTCATGGAATCACTGAGGTTGGAAAGAACCCTGAAGCTCCTCCAGTGCCACCATGACCCTCCCCCTGACCCTTCCCAACTCCCCCAGATCCCTCAGCACTGGGTCACCCCGACTCTCCAACCCCCCCCAGGGATGGGGACTCCCCCCCTGCCCTGGGCAGCCCATTCCAACGCCCAACAGCCCCTTCTGCACAGAAATCCTTCCTCAGAGCCAGCCTGACCCTGCCCTGGGCAGCTTGAGGCCATTCCCTCGGGGCCTGGCGCTGGGGCCTTGGCTCCAGAGACTCATCCCCCCTCTCTGCCCCCTCCTGGCAGGGAGTTGCCGAGGGCCAGGAGGTCTCCCCTCAGCCTCCTCTTCTCCAGACTGAACCCCCCCAGTTCCCCCAGCCGCTCCCCA